CGCGCCTCCTCCCCGCCCGGGCCTCGCGAGGTCCCCCAGGCAGGCCCGGCCGCGCTCACCCCTCCGCCCTCCTGCAGACGCGGTCGAGGCCCGGCGAGAGTTTGAGCGCGACGCAGGCGGGACGACAGTGCTCGGGGACCCTGCGCACCCGCCGCAGCTGCTTGCACGGGTTCTGAGCCCCGCGCTTCCCGGGGCCAGCGGCGCCGGCGGCCTCGTCCCGCTGCCGGGAAGCCGGCCCAGTCCCCCGCACCCGGAGTTGCGCCTGGAGGCGCCCGGCGCGTCGGAACCACTGCATCACCACCCCTACAAGTACCCAGCCGCCGCCTACGACCACTTCCTCGGGGCCAAGAGCCGGCCTGCGCCTTACCCGCTGCCGGGCCTGCGTGGCCACGGCTACCACCCGCATGCGCACCCGCACCCGCACCCGCATCCGCACCACCATCCCGCCGTGAGTCCCGCAGCCGCGGCCGCCGCTGCTGCCGCCGCCGCTGCCGCCGCCAATATGTACTCGTCGGCCGGGACCGCGCCGCCAGGCTCCTACGATTACTGCCCCAGATAATGTGGCGTCTCCCCGAGCCACCCTGTCCCGGGCCCGCGCTCAGCCCCAGGCCCCTCGGCGCCTTGCGCGCTCAGCCCCCGGGGCCATCCAAGAACATACTCCCCCAAGCCCTGGGGAACACCGCGGGGCTGCCATCCCCAGCCACTCCTCAGCCCAGGGGGTCGGAGGTCCATTTGAGATGCGGCAGGAATGGCACGCGCGCCCTGGGCCCCACTTGAAGGGGGCGCCAATTAGCCACCACCAGCCGTGAGTAAAGCTTAGGGCCGCAGGGCTCTGTCTCCCATAGATACGCCTCTGTGGGGGGTATTGGAGCTCCTGGTCCCCTGAACCCCCACCTGGTCCCAGGAGTCCCCCGTGGCACCTTCCCCAGCCCCGAAGGCCACGGGGTCTCCGGCTGGCCAGTGCCAAAGAGCCCGGTCAGAGGCGGAAGGAAGTGATATTTATTGTTCTCTTCGAGACCGCGTCGCCCCCCGGCCGGTAGTTGCAGTGTAGACGACACCCGGTTGCCTCGTGTGCGGGCGCTGTAGATACGTGTAGATATGTGTAGATAACTGTAGATACCGCGCCGGCGCCGACTTGATAAACGGTTTCGCCTCTTTTTGGAAGTTGCCTCGGTGTCCATTTATTCACGACAAGTTGGATTGCTGGGGGACTTAGGGGTTCCCCTCAGCCCCGGTCCCCACAGTCCACAGATCCGGCTCCTTGTGGAATGGGAATCCTCTCCTCGCAGATCCCTTGCCAGGCTCCCTCCCGGGCCGGTCCTCCCTCAGGCTGTCACCTCCTTGCTTGGTCCCTTCCCCACCAGGACTCCTAGAGCCAGTACCAGCTGTATGTTCCCTCCTCCTCCTCCTCTTCCTCCTTGCCACATCTCTCCCCATCCCCCGCTCTAAAGTCCCCCGTCAGGGTCCTTCTGCATCCCACACCCCAGCAGCACACACTTCCATCCTGGAGGCTGCATTGCAGGTCTATAGGGCGCTGGTTCTGAGACCCCATCCCTAGCATTCCGTCTTTGAATTCTTCCCACTTGCATTGGTTGGGCAGGGGCTGGGGTTGTTTTCTGAGTATTCAGAAGCCAGAAGAACCCTGCCAGGGGGGTGGATTGCGTGCAGGGAGTACCTGGTCCGACTCAGATATAGGAGGGGGAGGAGTCCTGGCGGGCCAAAGCACAGACACCGGAGGCTCTCAGGTCCCACACTGCTCTTTCCCAGCCGTGGGTCCAGCCCCACCTCTAGCTTCCCTTGTTATTCCCCCAGAGCATCCCCCAGAGAGTGACCCGGGCAGAGGGCACCTGAGTCATCCCAAAACCTGTCTGTGTAGCGTTTTCCCAGCCAGGTGGACGAGGGCCCTCTCCCGGCTAACTCAACACCGGGGATACGGCCAGAGGAAGGCTTTGATCCCTCGTTTCCTGAGCACAGGCAGGAAAGACTGACAGCGGCCAGTGGCCAGCATCAAGGCTGCACCCTTGGGCATGAGATGAAGGGAAGTGCAAGTGGATGTGACTCTGCCCTGCTCTCCCGGCAGCCCCCTGCGGTTGTCAGTTTGGGCCCTCCAGCCCAGCTTTTCACATCACTGAGGTCGCCTGTCACTGGGGCCCCCTCCCCCAGCTCCCTCCTCAGTTCTGGCAGGCCTTTCCTGACACTGGCCCTGACAGAAGGGCTCTTTCGTACCTGCTTTGCTCTGGTGCCATGAAGCAACCGGCGGGCTTCTAATCGCTGTGTGGGTCTAGTGGGAAGAGCCTCAAAGCTGACCCTCCTGTGGGTTTTCAGAGGCTGTAAGTCTCAAGGGAGGAAATTGCCCATTCGTCTGCGGAGCAGCTGGTGGAGTTGAACCAAGTACTTTCAGGATTGCAGTGCAGCTTCTTACCACTAGGCCACGGGAGCTCCCCCACCAGGGAGTTTAGCCATCTCCTCAGGTCAGCCTAGGAAGGGAGGGAGTGGCCAGGGCTGCTGGACCCGAGCTGGAAGGCCCTTGCTTGCTGATCCTTCAGCCTCCAGGCTCAAACACACCCCCATCCCACCCCTGCTGCATCTCTCTAAGTAACCAAGAGCGTGTGTAGACAGCTTCTGGGACACTCCACAGGGCACACTGGCCTGCTTCGCCCTATGTCCTGTCCCCTCATGGAGAGCTCCTTTGGGTCAACCACATGCAGTGGGCTGCCCTCTCCCAGAGAGCAGACACATTGGCCACTCTGCACCCACCCCCCCTTTATTCCTAAATAGGGGTACTACCTCAGGGATGGTTTTCTTGCAGCACCCCCATCAAGGAACCCTCCTGGCCCCTCAGGCTATGACTCCCTTCCTGGGGCTCTGTGTCCGCTGTCACATTTTCACCATCCGCGCAGTCCTGGGGACACTTTGTGGGGAATCCTAGGGAGAGGGACCTGCCTTGGTACCAGCAGCCAGGAAATGAAAAGACAACTTGCATGGGGTAAGTCTGCTGTTGAGGACCTCCCCAAAGTACTGAAGAGCAATGGTAGCAGCCTGGAGACTAAGGTGTGCCTGATCTAGGCCATAGTCTTTGCAATTACTTGCTATGCATCAGAAAGCTGGACAGTGACTAAGGATGATAGAAGGAGAAATGATGCCTTTGAGCTGTGGTGCTGGAGAAGAGTATTGAATATACCATGGACTGCTAGGAAAACAAACAGGTTCATCCTGAAGAGGGAGAGACCAGGCTGCTCCTTGGAGGCAAGGATGCTGAAGCTTCATCTGATATACTTTGGACAAGTTGCAAGGAGGGACCAATCCTTGGAGAGGGACGTCATGCTTGGAGGTGGTGGAAGGAGAGAGAAAGAGAGGAAGACCCTTGATGATATGGATTGATTCAGTGACTGGGGTAATGGGAGTAGGTGTGTTGTTAGGTGCCATCGAGTCGTGACCCTATGAAGGAGAGTCCTCAACACGTGGGTGTCTCTCATCCTCTCTCCAGGTTCACAGGGTTTCCTGAGGCAAGCTATTATGAAAGTGGATGCCACTCCTCCTTCCAAGCTTGTTTTAATCGGGGCGCTCCACCCCACTCTCTGTCCACATTGGGTAACCAACCATTAACGCATTTGACACATCAGTGTCACAGTGTTCAGCCTCACAGCAACCACAAGTTACCGCTGTACGGCAACTTGTATACCAGGGCTATACGACCTAGAGGAATGTCTGAACAAAAACAATGAAAGACAGGCCTGAGGGCCGCGGATTAAAAGTCACCCACCTTTGGCTTGGTAGCATCGCTTTCTGTCCACTGGGCCAGCTGATCTCTCTCTCTCTCTTGATGTTATTGTTGTTAACTGCCATCAAGTCACAGGCGACTCATAGCGACCCTATGAGAGACAATGAAACAGGCACAGGATAGAGCAGCGTTTAGGGCTGTTGTACCGAGGGTCGCTATAGTCACAAGCAACTCGAGGGCACATAACAACAACAGTGAAGAGACGCTCTCAGAATTGGCATTGTGATAAATAGAATTGTGAAGAGAATGAATGTCATCACGCGGCCCACACACTGTCCACCAGGTCATCACTCATCACCACCCAGGTCCAGAGAGTAAGGCCGCTGGCTGTCCAGAATGGTCCACATTAGCCATCCATGGCCACTGATGGTTCAGTTAAACTAAAAATGAAAAACAGGCCACACACACAAAAAAAACCAAAAAAACAAAAAAAAAAAAAAAAAACAAAACAAACGCACTGCCATAAGAGTCAGAACTGACTCACAGCTGAGCTGCCAGTGGGTTTTCAGAGGCTGTAAATCACCTGCAAGGAGATTGCTCATCTTTCTCCCTCAGAGCAGTCGGGGGATTGGGAAGACCTTTGGGGCTTTGGGGTGAGCAGTGCAGCTTCCTGAGGATGGTAACATCAGGGCTCCATTTTAATTAATTGTCGATATGTGCCACTGAGTCAGAACTGACTCATAGCTGAGCCGCCAGTGGGTTTTTCAGAGGCTGTAAATCGCCTGGGAGGAGATTGCCCATCTTTCTCATGAGGAGCAGATGGTGGATTCGAGCCGCCTGCCATTGGGTTGGCAGCGCAACTCCTTACCACGAGGCCACCAGGGCTCCCTTTCCATTAAAGAGAGGTTAGCACTGAGTTCCTCCCTGGTTGCATTCGAAGAGGCCAGTGACACATGTGCCTGATGGTCCCCAAGTCTCTGGTCCCTGTTCCAAAAGAGCCAGCCTTCTCCCCTCTGTCACCACAGGTATCTGCCTGGGTACGGGCCCCTGGCAAATGGAACCCCACAGTCAGAACCCCACTGGTCTGTTGAGTCTGCACTGGCCCCCTAGCTTCCTGCCACTGCATGGGGACAAGCTCTGTGCCTCCACTGCCTCTGTCCAGTCCCTGGATCCCTGCTACCTATGAGCAGAAGCCACCTCCCTTCATTCCAGCCCCACCTTAAGGAGGCAGGAGCTCTTACCTTCCAAGGGGGCCATAGGGGTTGACATTCAGAAGGTCAAGATCACCTCTTCCTTAAAGCCCGCTTGCGCTGCTGTCAAGTGGAGCTGGCCTGTCCAGTCCTCAGACTCTCCATGCGCTCATTTCCCCGGGAGCATGATTGCTGCCAGCGTTCCCTGCTTGTCCCTTCGTCAACCCCCCAGTGTCCCCCACACCAGACTGGGCCTACTTACCTTGGCACCTTCCCTACAGAGTTTGGACTAGAAGGGAACACAAGACCTGTCAAGAAACATATGACCCCTCCCCCCAAAAAAGAAGCAGACGACCCACAGCTAAAACAGGGGGTTACTGCCCACTTGCCCCCTCAAATCTTTGTTGTTGTTGTATATTGTGGAGTTGGAACCAACCCCGTAGCTGACCCACCAGCAGGTTTTCAGAGGCAGTTATTCAGATGGGAGGAGATTACCCATCTGTCTCCCATGGAGCAACTAGTGGATTCAAACTGCATGCCTTTGGGTTGGCAGTACAACTCCTTACCGCTGAGCCACCAGCGTCCCATCTTTGGCTTCCCCGAAAAGGGCCTTAGAACCAGACTCTAGGTGCTCTTGGACCACCCTGC